AGAACATTCTTGGCTGGGTCCGTGCTGTTGTCCAATCTCTTCCATCTACCCAGTTTGCAGACTACGACAAAGCGAACTCGAAATCACTGGATCTGAATGCTGCTATCAACATATTACGACAAGCGCTTGTACGAAATCCTACGTCTGACCTATTATGGTGCCTCTATGTAGAGCTTTGGATGTACCGAGGAGATGAGAAGATGTTTGAACGTGAAATGGAGCAGGCTGTCAGAAACGTTCCATACTGCTTGGATCTCATGTGGTATAACGTCCTGTTGGCATCGACAGTTGAAGAGCAATTGACAGCAAGTGACAATCTACTGCGATATTTTAACAGCGATGAGGCGATCAAAACAATTGGTATAGTTGCAAGAGAACAAACCATGTAGGCATTATCATGAACAACTGAAATTAGTGTACTAATTGCATTCCCTAGACGACGACTCAAGATCAAGCACCTTGTTGGAAATCCTTTGTAGGCAAGCGGCTATCCTAATTGCCAATGACCGGCAGCTAGCAGCCAAGAGACTTCTTGCGGGAGTATTATCGTCTACTTCAGTGGTGAGAACTGCTATGAAGCTACGCGATCAGGTTTTATTGGCAGCTTGCTATTTTCATATCTGTGCCTATGAGCGAGTGCCTATCTTAGTGTTTCGACCTCACTTTGCTAAGCGTTATCAAAGCGATCAAAATTACGCCGTTCCGCTTTTTATTGTAGTTTGGAACGAGGCATTGGCGGCAAGTTCATTTCAAGATGTACCTTGCGTAATCTCTTTTGAGCGCCAGCTAGAGGCTTCTCTAGCTGACGCTTCAGATGCTGACCACATATTATTTTTAACCGTGATCACCAATATGTTAGAATTCCTAAAGCGATATCCACAAGCGAAATCCGACATAGCATTCATCAAAGAAAGGCTGGAAACTTCCCATTTCTTACCTTAATGTACAGAGTTTAAAAACAAATCAAAAGAAAAGCAAGGGAATAACGTAAAGCAAAAGCTTAACATGACACAAAAAAAAAAAAGAGAGAGAATAATCAAAAAAAAGAAAAAAGAAAAAAAAAAAGAAATATAGAGTGTGTGTGTCTTTTCTTCTTATTCATCTTCATCTTTTTCCTGTCCTTAGAAAAATAATACTATACCGAACCATACATTCATAATAAATTCACAAAAGAGTTTACATTTATTCCATTTCTTTCTATTTTTTAGATTGTTTGACTTCTTCTAACAACGTTGAGCGCAAAATGCTTTGCATTGGGTTGCTGAGTTGGAAGAGCCCATTGGATGTTACAAATCGGTGCGATGGCATACGTTGATATGTGTTGGGCTGAATAATTCCTTTACTCAACAAAACACTTCCAAAGATATCCTCAGGTAGCGGTATGCGACCCCACGGAGGAGGATTGCGTTCATCAGCAACATGTAACCAGCTGGCAAAAACATGAGTCAACGCGCATTGATATATACAAAGTTGATCACTGCTAACACTTACCCTTCTTGCTGCCATTCCGCCATTCCCTTCAATGAAGAGTCATCTACCTTGTCAACATTGTCGCCGATAACCTTGTGCAAAAGGTCGGCAAACTCCTCGTTCTCGGCGAACGTTCTTGGGTTAATTTCCCCTTCACTAGCTGACCAGCCTATGACGGCTCGAGGGAAGTCTTCAATTGCGCTTCCAGAAGGAAGTTCCTTATCAGATAAAAATGAAACTGGGTATTTCTTTGAACCAGGTTGATTGTCGTCTGCGGCATAATAGTGGACATCTGGACGAGCTGTTCGGTACTTTAGCGGAGAGTCAACACAAGACTATTTTCACTTTTGGTGTGCGTAGTTACATTTATCTGGAATGCTTTTCCGGCTAGTAGAGAGGAATGAAGTTGTGGAAAAGGGCTTGAGAAGAGCCGAGGGGCGAAGAGCGTTGGTCCTGATTACTGACAGCATTCTGAATGGTGACACTTTTTGGTATGAAGCCCCTGTAACAGAGCGCGCCCTTTCATTCACCCACCAAGCACATCTAAGCCACAATAGAGGACTGCTTTTTCCGCCTTGTTTTCTGGCTCTCAAAGCGAGAAACCAAAGGAATTGTCGAAACAAAATCGTCTATCCATCATGTTACCCAGCAGCGTTCGAATCATCGGGCTTACTGCCTCCAAATGTGCAACACAGCGAACTGCTCCTATTGCCCTTAGACAATTTCACTCCACCACTTTCAATGGAGAAGAAAAAGACACAGAATCTCCACAAGAGGACGCTGAGCAATCGTCACCCGCTGAAGAGACCGAACCTGTAAAGCTCTCAAGAAGAAGAAGAAAGTTTCACGAATGGGCTAATGGTGAAGGCAAGAAATATAAGGAACCTTCTCAAGGAACCACCAACTACATTGCCCAAACTCCATTCCCTATGAACCCCTTGTTCAAGCCCGTACTTCCCCTCTCAGATACCGTACGTGAAAAGATTTTCCAACAGTACGTTTCCGAACCTGAGAAATGGACTGTGCGCAAGTTGGCAACAGAGCACAATCTTTCTTTGGCAAGAGTTGATGCTATTCTCAAGCTCAAGGCTCAAGAAAAGCAAATGATGGGCGAGGTACGTGTCAAGGCCGTTAAATTTTCGTTCGATTGTTTTGGTTTCGTTCTGATTGTTCTTTTTACAGGGTGTCCCATTGCAAACCAAATTTTTGAAGGGAATGGAAAAGCTGATTGGTGTTCAGCACTCTGAGCGAAACTTGAGAGAGACTTTGATCGAAATCCAGCCTGATGTAAACAAGCCCAAGTACCAGATTATTGATGAAGAAGATCAATTCACTCCCGAGGTAACTACATCAGCAATGAAGTGTGTAGCTCAAACGATGAACCACATATCTAACATGGGCGATTGTGTTTACTAGGATGCTGCCAAGGTTTTGAACCGCAGAGCCTTCGCAGATGTCCAAAAGGATCTGCTCATTGGTGAATCCAAGGCAAAGGGCGACAAGTGGATGGTGTCAGAAAAAGAGAGCATCGAAAAGTTGCCAGCACAGAACCAGAAGGAATCTAATAAGCGATTCGGATTCTTGTTTGTCGACACCAGCGTTCATGGTAAAAAGAACCCTATTGTCCGTGAATCCGACGGTACATTGAGAAAAGCTCAGACTTCAGAATATGCCAAAAAGATGATTCACTATTAGTTCCCCAAAAATATCTCAGTTATCTAGAGGATAATAATGTATCCATCCCACATGTACAATAAACAAAAAAATAGAACTTTGCTGCATTACTTGTCGTTGCATGTATTACGCAAGAATCCACTGTTGGTTGGCTCGATATGCCGCCAATACGAGTGTTGATGCGATGAGTATGTAAGTCACTAGTCGAATGTTCATTAATGAAGTTGGCGCCTATTGTAACGGGATTAAAGCAGCATTCTGCATACGAAGCTGGTCATTCCTCTTACGTTTATGATGTGAAATTCCCTTTCACCAGCTTCCAGTGTACCTTTATCAAGTATCCCTTTGAGATCCAATATACATTTTATTCAACCATTGCAATGACGCTCGTGAATGATATACACCATATGAATCAGCGAAGAAACGTTTATGTTGAGAGCCGTAGGAGTGTGTATATACAAATATATAACATATTCATTTTCTCATAGTTAATTTGGAGCGATATGAACTTGACAGATCCGCATTTTTAAATTTAACTTTCAAAATAATCGATTGACCTGTCAAAATATGATGTGATGTAGATAATATGCACAAGGGTCAGGCCACTACTTTGTAAAGCCATCAACCATTGACTCGCCACATACAGAGAGCAAAAAAGATAGCTGCTCTTCGACGTGCGATATATTTGTATCTCGTATTCAGAAAGAGGTCTCCTCAGAAATAGAACTTGCCGTCTAGTTGTATATATTGACCTCTGATCAACACCCTCCATGTCTCGTCAAGACTAGCCATCGGCACATATATTGCACTATGCATAATCCTAAGTGATTTAGTTGTCTGATAGCAATATTTCGATATTCGTATCAGTATCGAAACCACTGACATCGACCCTTTTTATTGTTACAAACCAACCCGGTGGGGCAGGTGAATGCGCGTGTGCCGATACTATTTTCTATCAGATTGTTCAATACCAATATACATTCATGCCTGAGGCATATATTGATGACATGTCTGCACTGATCATATTGAGGCTTGTATAAGGCTGTTGTACAATGTTGTATGCACACTAGATATCGTCCACCTGTCACAAACTTTGGCGCTACTGGTCAAGGTAGTCTACATTGAGCAATAAAAACAAGGCTGATCGAAGGGTAGGTAGCAGAGTAAGCTCAAAGTAACAGAACTCAAAAGGAAAAGAAAGTGAGAGAGTCTGATACACACTCACACAGCATCATATGAAAAGGAATGAGAAATAGCCTAAAAAAAATGACAAACAGTAAATTCTCTGTTGAAGCTAAATTTCAGAGACAAGAGAAAAGACTAACTGTTATGTTGAGAGTGTCATCCATATATGATATACTGCATTGGGTGGGGCCATGCGAAGTCCAGCTGAAAAATAATGAAGAGGTCCTTTTTCAACCCTCAAAACCGACAAAATGTGAGATGGCCAAATGAGCTCCCGAGGACAAAATAAACAATTATTGATGTATAAAGTACTTCTGAAGCATTTATATTGAAACAAGTAGAGAGAAACAAGATGAAAAGGAATAAAATAATTATAATCACTTTGTTGAGGCCATTACAGACGGTAAAGAAAAAGACCGTATTATTTTTGTATTAGAACGCCGTGCGTACGAAATTAATGTCAAAAGATAGTCACAGATGATAAGATGGTCTATAGGATTCATGAGATATATGCTTGAAGTAGTGTATTTAAGCTGCCCTCACTAAAGCTGTCGGTGAGGATAGTTACTTATGCATTCATCCTCGCGCCTCGTGCATAGAGATTCTGTGCTTCTTAGACATATATGCTGTGAATCAATATCATTTTGCCAGAGTAAGCCACAGCAAGTTAAGCTTCCGTGGCGCAATTGGCTAGCGCGTCTGACTGTTAATCAGGAGGTTGGAAGTTCGAGCCTTCCCGGGAGCGCAATTTTTTTGTTTCTTCTCTGAACATATTAATGTGTTGGTAAAAGAAGCTGAAGTGACGATAAAAGCTAAATTTTCAGAGATAGCAAACTTTCGTTTTTAACAGGTAAACATTCGATCCTCAATTAGGTTTTCCATTGTTGGTGGCGCTGTAGCATTACCCATGTTATCTGTTCCTTTTGTATGCAAACCGAGCTCTTCTCAGATTGAGATGGTGTGCTATTAATTTCAAATCATTCAATGGCAATGATATTTTGATTAGTATTATCTTTATAACATCGTTAACATTCGAGAGTAATGACTAAGGTATCCCTCTGATAACAAAAATGTTAGTTTACCACAAAGGAGGTATAGCACGTCTGATCTGAAAGTATTTGATCGATTGACAAGATATCAAACTTTCCATTTGGACAAGAAAGTAGTTGGTATAGCTACTACACCTAACCGGTTTCCATTTTTTTCTATGCATGTGCTTTGGCACATCAGAATAGACCATTTTAACTTGACAGAACTGAGATTATATATGTGCGATCAAAGCAGTAGTATCTTTGGAATCAAAGACGACTGGATCAAATCTACGGGTGGGAAGGTCATATTTAAGCTTGCATATTTCAAACAGCAAAGCATAACAAGTCTAATTTACCTCACATATTTCGGACTCTTACATAATAGCTGGTGTAGCGTGAGAGCTAAAGCTTACCAAAAAGGATCTGTTCCGTAATTGTTGGGGTTTATCCGGACCAGTATAACGTTTGATAATGTAGACAACATCGCTCATTCTGGTACGAAATACAACATTGTACATAAGGCATGCTATTGGGTTGTATGGCTTGAAGCTGGAATCAATGCATAGGCATATTAAAATTTTGACAGCAAAAACGGGAATAAGAAAAAATGGGAAAAAACGTGAAATTAAGCCCAGCCACGTTGAAATCAGCAGACTCCAGCCTCACCAAGGTTTAGACGAAGTTAATGAGCTCAAAAACTCACCAAATCCCTACCTGGATGGCGCAGAAATCCTTGCGAGCTCTAATGCTCGCTCGCTACAGACACTATGTGAGCGGAAGTGCAGCTAGTGGTAGCCGGCGCGGCTACGCGTCGTTCGCCGGCCACTTACCGCGGTCACTTCATTCCCGCGCTTTAGCGCATCCCTTCAGGCCGCCAGCAATACTATACCCTAGTCGACTGAACATTCCAGCTGTACCTGTGTTTCCTGCGCAACACTACAAGCACCTAAACGCACAAACAAGTGAAACGGCGCAGATTCATACTTTGCAACGCCCGTCAAAGTCATTGCATGCGCAACAACAATCACTAGCGATAAATGGAACCAGACGACGACATGTGCAGACCAATAGCAAACTGGAGCAGTCAAAAGGGGATCCACTACAACTTTCTGTGTTTGATTATTTGGGAGACAAGAGCATGGAGAAACCAAAACCCTCCTATATTTTCACTCATGCAGCAACAGGGTTCCCAAAGGCCGGCAAGCGAGTGGTTTCTCCGGACAAGGATGAAGAGTATGCCAGCGTACAAGTTGGCGAAGATGCGTACTTTCGTAGATACGATTCATTAGGAGTTGCGGATGGTGTTGGAGGCTGGACCGGCACTACAGGTAAGGAAGCTTGCTATGTTCTAACCAACATCATGCAAACGTCTAATGCTTGCTTTGGGGGTTAGGTGCTAATCCTGCGTTGTACTCTCGTAAACTCATGCACTATGCGTATGTGGAGCTAGAGAGATTTGACAACATAGATGATCCTTCGTTTTACGACTACGACAAAGCAGACCCAGTAGAAATCTTACAGACGAGCTATGAGCACTGTTTGGAAGACGCCGAGAAAGAGGTAAGCTGACAACATTGGGGATACGTCTTGGTAGTACAGAGTCTTTAATATTTTCTTTCTATCTTCTCATAAGGGTATTGTGGGATCCTCAACGGCTTGTGTGGTGATATTGAGGAACAATGAGCTGCGAATAGCCAACATTGGAGATTGTGGAGTATCCATAATAAGACATAACGATTACATCTTTCGGACCGAAGAGCAACAACATTCGTTCAATTTTCCTGTCCAGTTAGGCACTGGATCATCCGACAGTCCGTCGGATGCTCAGGTAAGCATGCATACACCCGCCTTAGGCTGGCATGATATGGCATTTTGCTGATGTCTCATTCTACTAGCGGTTCTCCGTTACTGTGGAGAAAGGAGACATAGTTATTTTGGCATCAGACGGTCTGTTTGACAACTTATACGATGAGGACATATTGGACATTGTACGCCATCACGTCTCTGCGCATACTATAACTGCAGGTAAAAGTAAGGCTCCACGTATCGTGAACTTGGAACCACAGACCATCTCAGATGCGCTAGCAAAACGAGCCAAATCAATCAGTGAAGATTCTCGGAATGTGAATAGTCCATTTCAGAGCCGTGCAATCCAAGAAGGTCTCTATTACCAGGTACGTTTACAGATTATACAGCTGGTGGGAGTATGTGGCTAACCTTGTTTATCGTTATGAAGGGTGGCAAAGCGGATGATATTAGTGTCCTAGTTGCTATAGTCAAAGATAGTGAGGATTCACCAGATAGGAGGTTGTAAACACCAAATCTGGTTCAATGAGGCTACTACGATTGTAAATAACATAACCCCCTCGAGCCTGAAATTTTCCTGTATTTAATGTCGTTGTCGTTCTCAACATGGTTTTATTTTTTCTACATAAATGTATTGATATGTTTGGTCTTGATGATTGGTATGACAGTATCCTATGGCAGGGAGTGTATATCAATGAATGGACATTGCAGGTAAAGATAAATGATGTATTGCATTTCAATGCGAATGAGGGTTAAGCAATGATTACGATTATATACAGTATACGGTATCTAGTGGTTACGGTGTCTAGTGGCTATTCCTTAGAAGAGAGTTTGGTAATGTAACATTGATAATCTGTCATCATCCAGCCTCTTCCATGTTCGAATAGTAGCGCCTTCGTCCTCGATTTGCCAAACACGAGCTCGACGTGGCCATCCGAGATGGCCAGCACCATATCCATTCACACCAATGCCTCCGCCGTAGCATAGTGAGACACCGTCCACATCAAGACAATAGTCATTTACATGGTCGTGACCACTAATGAAGAGAAGTGTCAAACATAAGAGAATAACTCAATGATATTACTTGCCAATAGCACTTACCATCCAGTAGCACGTATATCTCCACCTAGCAATAATAATGTCATCTTTCAAGTTAGCCGACACTCTTCACTGGATACCGACATTTAGATTATAACGTACCTTTCTTAAATGTAGCCAGAATTCCGGCGTCTGATTTCCTACTGCTTGAAACAGTCTCACGTTGATCTCCAAGAATAGGTCGCTTTCGATTACCCTTTTCAAAATTACCGTATTCTGGTATCGGTATGTGGAAGAATGCGATGGCATTAGGAGGGGCTTGGTGATCTTTTGCAAATGATTGTGATACATTAAGGTACCACTGTAGCTGGTCAGGTTTGATGATATCATATTCTGTCTTCTCAGGGTTCGCATAGGCATGGGAGTCGAAAAAGTAGAGGGTGAATGCATGCTTATCTTCCTCTTGACTGAATATAAACCCCCCGCAAAGAAAATTTAATACTGTTGATCGAAGAGGGTTTGACTACGTGCGCATTCATACCTCTGATTGCTCCATATTTTCAAAGCATAATTGCCGATGCCAGAAATTTCCATGGGGCCTTCCTCACTAACAGAGTACGGCATATTTCGAACAACCTCAAACAACTCTTCCCTAGTCAGGTCATTCTCGTCATCATGGTTTCCAAATATCATTGCCTAAGACATTTCCCAGCATTATTAGAATGAAGACGTTATAACGGATTTCTGCTGACGTTGAATTCTTACCCATGGGATTTTCTGCTCAATGACAGGCTGAGAATACTTCAACGTTGCAGCTCGTGCGTCATTGACACCTGTTTCCATAAAATTAGCTTTGCCACCAAAGGATTATAGTTTCATCTGGATGGGGTCAAAACACATACCTCCTGTGCCATCTATGTTATCACCAGTAAAGACAACAAGATCAGGCTTTTCGGATTTCAGCAAGTGTTCAATGGTGGTTATTGTAGTAGCATCACCTTGGCATGGTGTCTAGGTGATCATTTAGTGTCTGACAACCTGAACCTTCGAACACCTTTGAACCACTTACATCGGGCGAAACGTCTCTACAACTGCCGCGGTCATTTGAAAAATGGAGATCAGCAAGCTGAAGTATCTTGAACGAACCATTTGGCCGAAATTTCAGGGGCTCAACCTTGTCTGGTACTGTAAAATTTGTCAACCAGACAGGCATATTTGTGGATCTCACATGCTTAAAAAAATTTCCAAACCTGAATATGCACGTCTGTAGAAAAGGAATGTTGGCTCTCCAAATCCTTCAGATGAACCAATACCTTTTGAATTCAAGTCAACGCTTATTTTGTTCCAACCGTATGGAGTAACAGCTGCATCTCCATACTCGATAGCAAGCTCCTGAATGGCTGTGTCTCGATCTTCTGCGGAGGCATCTTCCTTGACTTTGTAATAAAGATATATAGAAGCTCCACGTATGGTACCTCGATTAAGATCGACATCCACCTTGGTATATCCCTCGGGCGGGGTTTGATCATCGAGAATAATAACTATACTGTAACATAGCGATTGTGGTTGATAATCAAGTTGAAATCGCATAATAAATCAATTGCCATCTTACTCTGTCACTGGAGGATGATCTTTTTCGCGCTGGTAGAACAAGTATACTCTGAAGCCAACCACAACACCTTCATTCAAATCCTTTGGTACTCGCTCCCAACCCTGAAAATAATGGATGGCATAAATATCCAAGGTGAACCAAATATGCAAGCCCTGAAAGACCAGGAGGCTGCGCCAAAACGATGTTCAAGCCATTTACCTCCATATAGCAATCGTCCGAGAAGCATGACATTGCTGTTATGGCCGTGATAGCATCTAC